AAAATAAATGTTATATTTCAACGGAAAATCATATGGTAATATATTCCAATAAATATTATTGGAATATATTACTAAAAGAAGTTACTAAATTTGTAGCCATCATATTTTATATTATTAAATATTATTTTTTATTCTTTAGGTAGCCATGATTTTTTATTTTTTTTTTTTTATTTTTTTCTTCACAGGTTGCAGGTTACGCGGTTGGATACGAAAAAAACTTGACTTTTGCCACTGTAAGAGATAGTGGGCATTTGGTGCCCCGTGACCAGCCCAAAAATGCACTTACTTTGTTTACCTCCTTTTTGGAGGGAAAATTGCCACCGAAAAAATAGGGGGAGAAGGCTGCAAAGGGTGATGAAGATGTTGATGACGATGACGAGTTTTTTAATGTTCTGATGGAGTGATGTATTGAGGTCTTGCCTGTATAAGAACCTTCTTATTTGTCTCTTTTGTGTTTGCTGCTACTAGTATTTGATGTTGATGGTTGGAACTATGTTCGGATCTTATTTTCTTTTGGTTATGGTTGAACAATATTTTGATAAATGGTGGTTTTTTGCAGTTTGTTACTTAGTGTATTTATGATGATTATGTCTGCAGGTGATGAAACTGTGTTCTTACACAGTGATATTTTTCTTACTGCAGTGATGTGACTTTTGAATATTATTATCTTTTATATTTTTGCTTGTTGTTCTTACATTGTTTCAAGTCATCTTCATTATATGATTTTCGAATTTAGATGCCAAAGGGGGAGATTGAAAGATTTATTTTTGGCAACACTTTCAAAAATAATATATTGAACATATGTTCTTGCAAGCATAAGGAATAAAAGGGAAGTTCTTTTATTTGTATTCATATTTATATATAATTCGGATATTTATATGGTTTATACATTTAGGAAAGTTTTGAGTGATCTTATTATGATATTTTTTTTAGGATATCGGACATGCATGGACGAGGATGGAAACATGCATGAAAAAGTTATCAAAGCAAGAGAGAGGGAGAAGATATTCACTTTTCATGTTTCAACATTATATTTGGAAAGAAGATCAAAAGA